AGAGAGAGAGAGAGAGAGAGAGAGAGAGAGAGAGAGAGAGAGACAGGGACAGGATAGCTTTGGGAAGGCCCTGGGTCAATACCTACTCGCCTGGAGGTTTATTCCAAAGGGCTTTTTATACAATGCCAAGGGGTGAGGCAAAAGACCTCCTCCTTTTAAGATCAAAGCCCACACCATGCAGCCGAGTGTAGACCCTTCAGAACACCTGGTAACCACGCCTGTGGCCAAATCATCTCCTTATGCAGCCCTGCTGGGTAAAGCAAGCCCAGATTCTCTGACCCTGAGTAAGGTCTCACTAGAGAGCCTCTATGGGCTTCCATAGGATTTCCTCTCTGATTCCACAACCCAGAATCTCTCTTTGTAGCTGCAGATTCCCTGTGGCTCTAAGATAATATGGAAATTGGAATTCTGTGGGTCTCTGGGGGGGATCGTAGGGAATAATTGGCTTTCAAAGGTCCTCTAGCACCAAGAGCAAATAGATGAACCTATCTCCAGGGAGGATGTTCTGAAAAGAATGCTTAGGTCGGTTCAACTCCCTCATAGGGCAGGAGGAGGAAATGGCTCGGTAGGAAAAGGTGTCCATGCCCGGGCTGCCACCTGAGGTCTATACTCAGGACCCACGTGGTAGAAAAGCCAGCTTCCTCAGGCTCCTAACCTGCCCACATGAACCATGGCATGCATGTACCCCCCCCCACACACACACACTCCCTGCACACAAAATAAAAAATTTAAAAGGTAAAATGAAATAACAATTAAATTCCTTTCCAAGCTCAGTGTGGCAGCACACACTAGTACTCACACAGAAGTCAGGAGACTGAGGCAGGAGGATCAGGAATTTGAGGCTGGCCTCAGCTACACGGTTTTAACCCCACACCTCCATACCAAACACCCCAAATTAAAGCAAATAAGATTAAACAATAAAGACAAAACAAAAACAAAACTAGCCTTCATGGGGTCTTTACGCATCCCTCTGCCTCTCCATCGCCTGCTTTTTCAAAGCCAAGTACAGCAAGGCCAGGAGACACCGTAAGCAATATGCGCATTTTCCCCCCAGAAGTGGTGGGTGGACTCCGCACCATCTGGTGAATGCCTCCCTTGCTATGGGCTCTTGGCATCCAGAGGCAAACAGCCCCTGCCATGAGCCATGGAAAAGACCTGAGTTGAGCTGGGTGACGGTGGCACACGGGATCCAGCGAGTCTCCATGAGCGAGACCCAAATTATCCCAACTCACGCTGCTAACAGGTGGAGGTGAGAGCGAGTGCCCGGGACAGAAGGCAGGCAGGTGCCAGATCTGTGGCCCAGCCTTCCCGACGGAGCAAGGGGAGGGAGAAGCAGCCCCCTTGGCCCAGTGACAGCTAAACTTCCTCCTCTACTGCTTGCCAGCCTTCCGTTCAAGCTGAAGTCACACTTAATTACATCCTGTGAGATAACCAATAAATCTTGCCCAGAGGGAGAGCACTGTTGCTTGAACCCAAGGCTTTTTAGACAAGTTCCAGGCCTGTGAGGAATACCCTTAACCCTGGTAATGATTTCGAGTAGCCATTTAAAAATGATTTTACATTTTGGGTAACTTGTTTATAAAACAAACAAACAAACAAAAAACCATCACTGGGCGGCAGTGGCCCACACCTTTAATCCCAGCACTCAGGAGGCAGAGCCAGGCAGATCTCTGTGAATTTGAAGCCAGCCTGGTCTACAGAGTGAGATCCAGGACAGGCACCAAAACTACACAGAGAAGCCCTGTCTCAAGAAAAAACAAACAAACAAAAACAAACCACACACACACATTTGCTTGATTTTTGTTTATCTAAGAAGACTTAGTATCTATGCATCTCTGTGTGTCTGTGTGAGCATATATGTACATGAATACATGTAGATGTGTATGGAGGCCAGAAGACCATGTTAGCAATGCCCTCTGTTATCTCTGCCTTTTCCTTTTGAGGCAGGTTTTCTGGAGTTCATAATTCTCTGCTAGGCTGGAAGTCAGCAAGTCCCAGCAATCCTCCTGTCTCTGCACCCCTCAGATGTAAGATAACAGGCACTTGTGGGACCTGAACTCAGATCCTTCTGATTATGTAGTGAGCACTCCTAACTGCTGAGCCATCTCTCCGGTCTGTTTGTTGTGTGTTTTTTATTTTGAATGAAATAATATTAAATTGCTTAATCCACTTAGTAGTTTCAAGGAATACTGTCACAAATAATTTGAAAGCCTTGGAGGGTCATTTTGTTGTTTGTTTGTTTCCTGTTACGTAGATAAAATATCCTGACAAGCCAGGCAGCGGTTGCGCACGCCTTTAATCCCAGCACTCAGGAGACAGAGGCAGGCAGATCTCTGTGAGTTCGAGGCCAGCCTGGTCTACAGAGCGAGTTCAGGGCAGTCAGGGCTGTTACACAAAGAAACCCTGTCTCAAAAAAAGCAAAAACAAAACCCTGCACATACATACATATAGGCAAAATACAATCATATATATATATAAAATATAAAAAAATAACTACAAGCCGGGCAGTGGTGGCGCACGCCTTTAATCCCAGCACTCGGGAGGCAGAGCCAGGCGGATCTCTGAGTTCGAGGCCAGCCTGGGCTACA